AAAGCCCAAACGGCGTAATTACCGCAGTTTTGGGGACGTCCGAGGGGTGCACCGGCACCTGGTGGTAGCCCCGCACCAGATCCACCTTGGAGAAAACCAGCTTGCCCGCCAGGTGTGCAGAGAAGTCCTGGATGTGAGGGACCGGGTAGCGGTCTGGCGTAGTGGCGTCGTTAAGGCGGCGGTAGTCACCACACGGTCGCCAGCCAACGGCTAATTTAGGGACCATGTGGAGCGGCGAAGCCCAAGGGCTGTCCGAGCGGCGGATGATGCCCAGACGCTCCATGCTGTCGAACTCCGACTTGGCGACTGACAGCATGTCAGGGTTGAGCCGCCGGGCCCTAGCGTAGACAGGGTGGCCTTCAGTGTCAATGTGGTGCTCTACCCCGTGTTTGGTAGTGGCAGCGGAAAAGGTGGGCTGCGTCAAGTCGGGAAACTCACTGAGAAGGTGCTGGAACTTGTCGCCTGTGAGAGTGAGCTGGAGAGCCCGCTGAATGAGGCCTTGCCGCGGGTACACGTGAACGAGGCAAACGTCAGCGCGTCCACCAGGCGGCTGTTCTTGACGTCCACCAGCAGCCCATGAGCGAACAGGAAGTCCGCGCACAGGAGGGCGAAGGAGATATCAGCCGTGACGAAATCCCACTTAAACCGCTGACCCTCGAAGCACAGGTCCACTGTCTTTGTGCCATAGGTGCGAATAGGGGTGTCGTTAGCGGACGTTAAAGGTGGGCCGTGGCCTCTACCGGTAGCCGGCAGGACGCTCCGCTGGGCTCCTGTGTCACAAAGGAGTCTGCGATCAGAGAGGGTGTCCCTGATGAACAGGAGCCGGTTGGATGTGCCCACGCTCGCGGCCAATACCGAGCGCAGGCCTTGGCGTTTCCCGTTACCTTGTAGGTGCAGGGGGGACGGCACATCTTCGCTTTCGCCCCCGTAGCGTGCATGGTAATAACACATGCCAGGGCTTGAGTTGCTGACGTCGGCCCCGGAGCTTCTGCTAGGTGGCATGCCTGTACCAGGGAAGGTGCCGCTGCGTGTCGGGGGCCAGCACCTCCGGGGTAAAACGCTGTGTTGCCAAGAAGAACCGATCGGCTTCTTCGGCCAAAGCGCGGGGCTCAGTAATAGCCGTGTTAGCGAGCGCTGTCTGTACATGCGGCGGCATGTGCCGAAGAAACAGTTCTATGAACAAAAGATGTGGTTCTTCCGTACCCAGCAGGCTGAGCATCATCTCCATGTAGTCAGAAGGCTTGTTGTCCCCCAGGCTATGAATAGCGAGCAGGCGTCGGGCCCGTTCCGACCGTGACAGCTCGAAAGTCTTTAGCAGGAAAGCCTTGAACGCTGCATATTTATCCTGGGCAGGAGGAGATGTAATAAACAGGAGTGATATTTTAAAGGAATTTCTTTTTATACTCTAATAAAATGCAACAAAAAAACGATTTGATTCTATTAATTTTGTCTTTTTTATTGCACTTTGGCAGCAGATTCCTAGCTTCAGATCTGAGTTGTCTTGTAAACCTAATTTATACTTTTGTAGCAACACTATTTTTATATAATGTCAAAGAAAGGGTTCAGAGTAATTTCTTTTTTTCCTGTGTCATATGTGGCAGCACTGCCACAAGTTCCTCTTCAGAGAGGGTCTTCAGTACAGTTGGCAATATTGTCACCTGCCTGCGCTCAGACCATGTAAACAGGCTGGTGTCTCCTGCAAAAAATCTTTAAGAGATGACATGAGCAGCCCTACCAGCATTTGCCATGGTGGCCAAAACATTTTTATTTGGTCTTAAATTGTAGTTCAACATTTATTTTCTGTTACTTCTGGACCATGACGGTTGGCCAGCCTTCAACGTTTAAGTGGAATATGTTGAATATGTTTTACCAAAATGTTGGAGTTGCAGTGCACTGCAACATATTTGATTTAATTTATTTTGGTCTAATTTATTTTTATTTATCATATTAATGTATGTTTAGTATGGTTTTGGAAGTGCACTCCAACATATTTGTTGATCTTGTTTATTGGTAAAATATTATTTGTTTTAAAGTTCAATAAATGGTCAATGAATAATCGTCAAAATAAACGTGATATCAATTATTGACCCAAATAATCGTGATTATGATTTTTGCCATAATCGTACAGCCAAATGCAGCCTCCGCTCCTAAATAACACTTTAATGATCAATAATTATAAAACATATAATACATATTATTCTGAAATTGACCAATCTGCACAATCACTACTTTGAATAACATTTTGATTGCAGGACTTTTATTTGTAACAGAGTATTACTACTCTCTGGTACATCTATTTTTACTTAAGTACAAGATCTGAGTATTCTCCCACCTCTGTATATTCATGTGTCTTCATCAGGTCTTTGGCTAATACTTGTTAATTGAAATGTTGTCTTTTGTGTTTTCCAGAGTCTATAATCCCCCTGGTCACTGGTGGAGTGTGTGTGTTGTCGCTGTGTGTGTTTGCCGCCGTGCTGATCAAGTGCTTCGCTATCGACCTCGCTCTCTTTTTCAGACCATTCCTCCCAAAAAGCAGTTACAAGAAAGGTAAGGAAGGTATATATTTTTAATTCATGAAGGATTGAGAAATTAAAGAATGATAGGCTAGTTTAATTATCCTATCCAAACTATAAATGTTTGTTTTCTCCTTAATTTCGGATAAATCAGTCTAAAACCCCTATCATTTTTTACAGTTCTGCTTGTTTACAGATTTAACCAACAATGTATAATGTGTTAATAGGTTAGCTTCAGATCTTAGCTGCTAGCACCTGCTTTAAGTCTTTATGCTAAGCTAATCGCCTGCTAATGGAGGGCAATTTTATAAATCATAGTCTGATAAAAGGGCCTGAGAAGTAGCATTGCAAAGTCTGATAACGTGTCTTAACCCAAGGCTAATCTTTACTTGAGGCTAGCAGCTCGAGGCTACATAAACACACCGCTAATCTCCAACCAAACTCTCACGGGTGGAGTTGCATTGTGGGTAATGTTAATGTTATTTAGTGTCAAAAAGGGACTGGAAGGTACACCATGAAATAGAAATATAATGATGTGGGTGTAAAGTAAACAAAATTCCGGCGATATATTTGTTGAACATGCTTCCAAACATGCAAGGTGTTGTTTTGAGATGTTCGTGTGGTACTTTCATACGTGTTCAGATTTTAAGTAACATGTTAACGTGACAGTGTGATGAGAAACATATTTTGAGTCTGTGTAGATCCACAAAAAACGGTGTCCAGAGAAGCATAATAACTCCAGCCACACTTGGAGAATACTTTTGGGAATGTTGCTGATTGAGTTTATTGAAATAAGGAGTCTGATGATAAAATCAATGCTGGCCTCTTGCAGCCCCACTTCTTATCCCTTTGATTTCAGTTGTGTTTGTTTGGTTGTTCGTACAGAGCGAGTGGAAATAAAATAACTTGACAGGCTTCATGGGCACAAACAGAATTGTGATTTATCGTAGCCTGGGTAACAATGAGTCAGAGAAATATTGTTTCTGGAAGAATCAGACAATGGGAAATATGTTGGGCACCAGTTAACCGAAAACAGATGGGAGATTNTGAAATAGAAATATAATGATGTGGGTGTAAAGTAAACAAAATTCCGGCGATATATTTGTTGAACATGCTTCCAAACATGCAAGGTGTTGTTTTGAGATGTTCGTGTGGTACTTTCATACGTGTTCAGATTTTAAGTAACATGTTAACGTGGCAGTGTGATGAGAAACATATTCCAGAGAAGCATAATAACTCCAGCCACACTTGGAGAATACTTTTGGGAATGTTGCTGATTGAGTTTATTGAAATAAGGAGTCTGATGATCAAATCAATGCTGGCCTCTTGCAGCCCCACTTCTAATCCCTTTGATTTCAGTTGTGTTTGGTTGTTCGTACAGAGCGAGTGGAAATAAAATAACTTGACAGGCTTCATAGGCACAAACAGAATTGTGATTTATCGTAGCCTGGGTAACAATGAGTCAGAGAAATATTGTTTCTGGAAGAATCAGACAATGGGGCAACCTTTCCTTGTATATGTTGGCCACCAGTTAACCGAAAACAGATGGGAGATTTAATGAAACAGTTTAGCTATTGTTGCCCAGAGTAGGATGAATAACTGCAGTGGTGTATTTTTCCAGGGAAACTCTTTGTGCCAAATGTAAATGTAGGTTCACTTCATAAAGTAAAAGGCACTGTGTGGAGACAAGGCTGCATAATGTTCTCATAACAAGGACAAAACTGGCAGACTAAGATCGGAACAATCCTGAGAGAAAGCTTCAGTGAATGTGTTTGTATTTCCCAGATTCGAGGGTGTACGATGCCTACGTTGTGTACCAAACGCAGAGCATGGACAAGGTCACTGAAGACTCCCTCTCTCAGTTCATCACAAACACTTTGCCCTCCGTCCTCGAGGAAAAGTGCGGGTATCGACTGTTCATCCACGGGAGGGACAGCATACCCGGGGAAGGTCTGAATGTTTTTCCAAACATATCTTTACTTTGAGCACAAATACAGATAAAACCACATCTTCTGTCACAGGGATAAGAAAATCAGGACACAACAAGTGTGGAGGCAGCGTGAATTAAAGCTCGTACCAAAAAACACAAAACTAATGGAGCAGGAACGGTTAAACAAATGGAAAGTAGCAAACATACGAAGGGCAAACAGGATGAGACGACTGGAAACTTGGGAAGCTGAACGAGGGGAAGACAATGAAGGCAGGAAACATCAACAGATTGGCCAAAAACACTTAGACGGACTGTTACGTCCCGGCTGGTGGAAAGTAACAAGTTGTTTAATGCAAGCGTGCACTAAAATGGGCAACAAACAGCCACAATCAAAACAACAGGAACTAAGGTAGACTCTTTAAATAAGAGCTTTCACAAGGTAATACCTAACCTAAACAAAAACTAACAAACACATAAACAAAAGAAAACCTCACTTCTAAAGTGGACAAAGGAAAAAACAAAAATAGGCAATAACAAAACACAGCCTGTGTACAAGTTAACCACCGTTAACGTTGTACGAAAAGACAAACAGATTCATAGACATGAGCACACATATACACACAACCTAGTTAACCACTGTTGACTGAACTAACACAGAATGTACGGAGCGAGTGCCGAGAGACGTCGGACACAGATTCAGACCTCTGTCGATTAACTGAGGTGCACACATTATTGTAGTGTTCCCCAGGAGGTGTGCGGGGATTGGAGAGTCGGGCCGGCATGCTCCGATCCAGATCTTCGGTCACGCTTACCGGGGGAGGGACAGCAAGCTGGCATCCAATGGCGTCTGGGCAACGGCACAGCTCATATACATATATAAGACACAGCTGCACTTACAGAAAGGTTAATGGGCAGAATGAAGACATCTCTATACGGACAGGTTTATACAGAGACGGGACTAATCTCAGAGAAAAGACACAGCTGGAGGTCAAACACAAGGGCAGCAGGTGAACCCAATGATACAATCACACAGGCAGGAAAACAGGAAGTAAAACAAGACAAGACACAAAGAGAAAATACATTTACATTACATGTTAGACGCTTTTATCCAAAGTGACGTACATACTCAATACTGTGGACAATCCCCACAGGAGCAATTTGGGGTGAAGTGTCTCAGGGACACAACGACATGCTGACTGCAGTGGGGTTTGAACCTGTGCCCCCTGATCCAAACACCAACGCACTAGTCCACTGCATCACACGCCTCAGTTGGGATACCTTTGTTATCATGTTACTCTGATATTGGAAGAGTGCATTCAGTGTTTTCCCAACATAACAACACGACCATGAGAGTTTGTGGCACCCAGGGATGTTTGACCTTGACCCATTTTCCAAACACAAGATAAACCTGTGTGTCCGTATCATTTCGTGACCTGCAGACCGCCTGGAGCTGGTGGAGGACCGCATGCAGCAGAGCAGGAGGCTGATGGTCCTCCTCACCCCGGGGTCAGGGCCAGAGAGCACGGAGGAGACTCTCACCTCGACTCGGGACTCACTGATAGGAGGATTTGACTGGCAGGTAAGAGTCTTACGGCCCGTCTACACTACAGGCATCAAAAAATCTTGGAGCTGGGCGTGTCTGAAGCTTGGCGATTTTTTGCGAGCAACGCGACCAACAACCAATCACATGAATCTCCCGCCCCCGACATACAAAGCCAAGTAATGTTAAAACGAAGTAAACTGGATATAAACTCTCCAAACAGGCGAAAACCTACCAGTTTCACCCACTGTCTCTGCCACCTCCCTCCATGCCTGGTTCCTCCGGTTTGTATCCCGGTAAATAGTTCTGGTCGTAAAGAACCGGGTGATTTGCTACCGTAATTTCTCGTTTGGAATATGAGGAAATGAACTGCGGTCTGGCTCTCCCAGCTTGCACGCGGTTTGATTGGCTGCGCTTGCACTGGCGGGATTTGCATAAACGGGATTTGATTGGCTGATGCCAAGCATCGAGCCTCAAAGCCGATAGATGCTCGTGATGCTTGCAAAGCCATAGATGCTCGTGATGCTTGCAAAGCCATGCCATGCTCCCCACAATGCAGTTCGGCGAAGATTAAAAATCTTCTACGTCACCCCATTCAAGTGAATGGGCGAAGCGTTGAAAGCATTTTTCGATGCCTGTAGTGCAGACGGGCCGTTACTTTTTTCAAAGATTCAAAGGTTTTTTTTGCATATGCACATAAACTAAAGCGTAGAAATGGTAATGAAATTCTTCCGACCTGAGCTCCTCCAACAATGCAACATATATAATAAAATACAAAAATAATGAAGGTCTCTTAACATTTATTACATAATATAAATAAATACTTATGTGGGCATTCTAGCAGATTGGGTGAGTTTTTATCCGCCCATGTTCAAATACAATTAAAACAAGGATCTATATTTTTCTTAAATTAAGGCTTAAAAAACTTTCATAGTAAATATCATTGACTAAAATATTTGTTTTATTAATAATAAATATAATAATGGTAATAATAATGAATAACAAAAATTCTAATCATAATAATAATAAACATTTTAAACATAGGTACTCAAAGAAACTTTACAAATAAATATTACAAATGTATAAATCAATTGTAAAATCAGTAAGCAGAAGAGGTGAGCTTTGATTTATGTTTTAAATTAGGACAGATTGGTGAAGTCACGTCCAGTGTGTTCTCTAAAGCAGGGGTGTCCAAACTATGGCCCGCGGCCCATTTTGAATCGGGCCCCAGCTAATTCCAAAAGTATAATGTAATACGGCCCACAAATGAAACTTGTGCTTGTCATATATCGTACTTCTGAAATATATATGTTAAA